TTAACATCCCAATTAAAATTAAGCATCTTAATGGGCTCCAATCTCTATCCCAAAGATTAAGCAACCTCAAGGATTAATCAAAATTAAGCAATTTTGAATTAGAATTTCGTTAAGTAAATTAGGGTTCATTAAGCAATGTTCCCTTCATGCAAATTCCATTTCATTCAGAGATTGGGGTTAATAAATTCAAGGAAAGAAAGATTTGTATTGCAATTAATTACAAGAAAGTTTAGCCCTCCATATGGATGGGCTTCACAAATGAGAGAAAGAAATGCAAGAACGTAAACATCATTAATGTAAATCCAACAACAATCAAAGGAGAAATTGGAAATTAAAACCTATAGAGGATCCTTGGCTGTCACCCAAGACTCCAATGTCGTAAGAAAATATCCTAATTTGGCAAAGAAAAATTGTGTAAAGTGTCAAAAGTCCCGTACCCTAATTCCTAAAATCTATTTATAGTGGATGACATGTCACCAAAGTGTCCACTTTTGCCTTTGAAAGTGTCCACTTTGGGCCTTGAAAGTGTCCACGCGCAGAATGCAAGGAATGCCGCTTCTCTGGAGTTGCTACTATTTGTGCTGAAAGTAGCTACTTTGGATGGGCGTAGCTACTATGAGAGCCCATAGTAACCACGCGCAGGAGGGCTTCAAAATCAGCGTCCAGGAGCTTCTGGAGTTGCCACTTTTGGTCTTCAAAGTAGCTACTTTGGATGCGCGTAGCTACTATGAGAGCCCATAGTAACCACGCGCATCATGCTTAAAAATTGGCGTTCCTGGAGCTTCTGGAGTTGCCACTTTTGGGCTTGAAAGTGGCTACTTTGGAACCTTTAATGCCCATGCTTGCTGTAGTTGCCACTTTTACTCCTCAAAGTAGCTACTTTGGGGGCAACTTTCATCTAAGGACCAAGATTTCTCAAATTTGACTTGGGCATTCTGCAAAATCATCAAGATAATTAAAATTGCAATCTATATCTATGTAATTAAATGCAAATTAACCAAAAATTAATAAACCTATGATATTTATTCAAAATGTGATTTCTATATTATTTTCACTATCTAAGTCCATTTTTTCTATCAAGAAGCATAAAAAAGGCAAGTAAAAATATAATAAAAATTGGATTCATCAGTGGAGAGGTGGTGAGACGTGGATGTTTGAAGTGGTGGTTTGAAACTTTTTTTTTTGTCATTTAGGATTGATTTGATATAGGAAATGTTTATTCAAAATATAAATATGTATGAAGAAGAAAAATGTATAAAATGTATGATGAAGCTTATTTGATGTCCTTGAAAATTTTTGCTTGCCTCTTGTTCTTCCTCCTTTCCACTAACCTTCCTTTCTCTATATTTTCTCTTTTTCTCTCCAAGTTTAAGAATGCCTCCTCTCAAAAAATTTTTTAGCCTCCTTTTGATGTCCTCTTTGCTCCATGGTTCTTTTTTCCTTTTATTGCTAGAGTTTTCACAAAAGGCCAAAAATTCTGAATTTTTCCTTTTTTATGTATAAAGTAATATTGGTTCAAGAGTTTGATTATTTGACATATTCTATTTTCCTTTGAAAAATTAATTCTAAAATTTTCCTATTTTATTAAGACAAATTTTTGTTTTTTCTTTAAAACCTTTTGATTCCATTCTTCTTTTGTAATATTAAAATTTAGATTTTTGTTTTTTTTAAATCAAAATTTTAGTGTTCACAGTTGCCCCTCTTTACTCAATTTTTTTATCAAAAAATATGTATGAACAAGTTTCATATTAAAGTGATAAAAATTGAGTAAAGAAGTGAACTAATTTTGGTTTAAAAATGATAAGATACATAAAAAAAAGAAAGTCAACATCAGAAGCTATCATAGAAACCATGATTTTTGATGGTTTGTGCTTAACAAATAATAATAAGAATTATGAGACAACATTAAGCTTTGACTAAAAACTAAGATTGCCAGGCAGATAATGGGCTTTAGCAAAAAAAAAATGTTGCTCGTAAAGTAAATCAAGTTCTAAACTTTTGACAATAAAGTAAAAGGAACCAGTCAGGTTCTGGGGTTTGACAAAGAAGTGAAATGTGCTAGTCAGATGCTAAGTTTTTGAGAGAAAAGTGAAATGTGTCATTTAGGTTCTAGGCTTTGATAGAAAAGTGAAAGGTGTCAGTTAGGTTCTGGGACTTTAACAGAAAAGTGAAATGTGCCAGACAGGTTCTGGGCTTTGACAGAAGAGTGAAATGTGCCAGGCAGGCTCTAGGCTTTGACAGAAAAGTAAAATGTGCCAGTCAGGTTCTAGGCGTTGACAGAAAAGTGAAAAATGCCAGTCATGTTTTGGGCTTTGACAGAAAAGTAAAATGTGCCAGTCAGGTTCTGGGCTTTGACAAAGAAGGGAAAAGTGCCAGTCAGATTCTGGGCTTTGACAGAAAATAAAATGTGCCAGTTAGGTGCTGGGCTTTGAGAAAATGCAAAAGATGCTGTCAAGTTTTAGGCTTTGACAAAAACATAAAGGGGCCAGGACAAGAAAGGTAAAAACAAAGACAGAAAAATAAAAGGTTGATCATGTTCTGGATTGCAAAAGAAAATAAAAGGATAGTCATGCTCTGAACTTTAACAGTAAAAGTAAGACAGAAAAATAAAGACATCAATCAGCTTCTGAATTTTGATGAAAAGTAAAGAACTCAGTTAGATCATAGTCTTGGACTGCACATAGAGATTGTAAAGCAGATAATGAATTTAAATTAAACTTTAAAAGGTGATGATAGATAAAAACAAATGCATGCTAATGTAATGATGCGATTGCATAAACTGGATGAATGTTATCACTTAGAGTGAAGTTATTCAATGATAAAGTCAATGCTATTATGAGACTTATTAAATCAAAACAAACTCTCTGTCCCTTTTTTGGGGGTAGTAATCTTTCAACCTTATTAGAACATGCATCTCAAGGTTCATGAATAAGTATGCTCTTTGGTCAGGATCAATTCTTTCATAAGATCTGAACTGGATGAGACATGAATCGAATTAGATTGCCATTTATTTTTGAATTGTCATAAGGAGACAACTTCTTCTGTCACGCTAAACTTATCAGGAGATTCATCAAACTTACTGTGTGAATTTTTAAGCTTCCAATTGTAATCATATTTTCTTATTACCTTTTTAACAATTTGCATGTTTCCTTTTAGTATATAATTATTGAAATGACAATAAAAATGTTAGTTAATGCTGTTGAAGAAGTTGAATAAACAAAGTGGTGTATATAAGCTGAATGGAAGATGAGGGATAAATATTTTTGGAAAGTAGGATGACTGTAATAAAGAAATGATGAATTTACAAAGAGGACTTACAACAAAATAGAAAAACAAATACATCAAACAAAGGATCAGAATGACTACGAAAATAGTGAAGTATTATGCCGATTAAGTGACGTCTTCCAGATGAACAGTGCTAATCTCTCATGTAAATTGATCATCCATTAACAAAACTACCAAAATAAAATTACCCCAGTAGGGTATTTTGAATCCATCTTCCGTTTGATTCAACTTTAACCTCTCAAAATTGTCCCATTTAGTATTCCAGTCGATCATATTTCTCGATTTGAAGCCCTTTCTTGCGACTGAAGTTAGTGCCCCTCTGAATCGCCCTTTTAGGTTTTCAGTTCAGTGTAGTATTTATTTGACCTTAATTTTTTCCTGAACCGCTCTTTCAAGTTTTCAGCTCACCAGGTCGCTCTAACTTTTGCCTAGGTCGCCCTTTCAACCTAGCGAGCTGTTTTCTTCTTTTTTTATTATTATTATTTTTTCTTCTTTTTTAATTATTTTTTTTAGCATAGTATTTTTTTACAGCATCAAAATTGATGGGGTTTGGAAGATCTTGTCCATCCATGTTTGTGAGGATTAGAGCTCCTCCTGAGAAAGCCTTTTTCACCCCATATGGTCCTTCATAATTCGGGGACCACTTGCCACGATAATCTTTATGCGTTGGCAAAATCTTTTTAAGTACCATATCTCCCTCACTGAATTCTCTTGGGCGAACCTTTTTATCAAAAGCCTTCTTCATCCTTCTCTAGTATAGTTGACCGTGACATAACGCATTCAACCGTTTTCCTTCAATGAGATTCAATTGATCAAAACGAGATTGCACTCATTCTACTTCCTCCAATTTAGTCTCCATTATTACCCTTAAAGAGGGAATTTTGACTTCAATAGGAAGTACTGCTTCCATTCCATATACCAATGAGTATGGAGTTGCCTCGGTTGAAGTGCGAACTGAAGTTCGATATTGATGAGTCCCACATCGGTTGGGGGGAGTGACTTATCAGTCTTTAAATAGTTGTGGCGTCCTTCCTTCTAGTATGAGGCCTTTTCCTAGTGTGTCATATCTAGGAGAAACAAAATCGTGAGGGTTAACCCCCAAAGCGGACAATATCATGCTAACCGGTGGACTAGGTGTATGTTATCAATTGGTATCAAGAGCTTTGGTTAGAATTGGATTGAAAAGTACTATTCATCGCACGTTGCTCATTGGAAAAAAAAAAGAGAAAAAAAAATATACTACAAAAAAAATTGCAACATACAAAAGTGTGTTTTTGATATATTTCTTCCAATCTTTCACTTATTTTGCTTGATTCCATACAAAAAAAAAATAGTAGTTGTTTAACGTTATATAATCTTCTTTAAATTCTCCAATTTTGTCTTATTTGCAATCTATTTTTGAGTGTGCTTATTTCTTATTTAGTCTTTTTTTTTCTATTGTCTTGTTGGCTTCCTTAGTTTTGTCTTAGAGTTTTCTTTTGTTGGCTTCACTTGAGTCTCATTGATTGATTGTCTCTTGGTTTTGGTTAATTATGTGGATTGGATGTTGACTTCCTTAAGAACTCTTGAGAGCATTTGAGGGGAAAAAGGCAAGAGAGAAATCCTTACACAAAAGCCAATTTAGAGTGAAACACGAGTGAATATCTACTGAGTGAAAACACTTAGCGAGTGGAGAGAACCTTTTCTTTTTGCATTAACTTTTATTGTTTTGTAGAATGTCTCAAGAAGGAGGATCAAGTAGAGAGAGCACTCCTGCCTCGCAAATTGAAAGACTTGCTCAAAGATTTGAAAACATGTTTGAAAGGCAAAATGAAGCAATAAGGAATGTTCAAGAGGCGTTGGCAAATAATGCAAGAAGGCGGTCACGTGATCGTTCTCCACATGCCCATGGAGACTCTAATAATTCTTCAAGAGAAAGAAGAAGAAATAGGAGAGATGATGAAGAAAGGAGGTATGATAGGTGGAGAGATAATAGAGAGAGGAGGAATCAAAGAAGAAGAAAAGAAGATGTAAGAATAAGAGAAAATGAGAGAATTTGTGGAGTTAAAATAAAAATTCCTAGTTTTCATGGAAGGAATGATGTTGAAGCATACTTAGAGTGGGAATTGAAGATAGAGCAAGTATTCTCATGCCATGATTATAGTGAAGAAAGGAAAGTAAAGGTGGCCTCCCTAGAGTTTTACGACTACGCGTTGGTGTGGTGGGATCAAATTCAAAGGGATCGAAGGAGATATGATGAGGAGCCTGTAGATACATGGATTGAAATGAAGAACCTAATGCGTAGGAGATTTGTTCCTACATACTACAATAGAGAGCTTCATACAAAGCTTCAAGGTTTGAGGCAAGGTGGCAAAAGTGTTGATGACTATTATAAAGAAATGGAAGTTGCCATGATACGAGCTAATGTATTTGAAGAAAGAGAAGCAATAATGGCCCGTTTCTTAAATGGGTTGAACCATGACATCCGTGACATAGTGGAACTTCATCCCTATGTGGAACTTGAAGATTTGGTTCATCAAGCTATTAAAGTAGAAGCACAACTAAAGAGAAAGGGTACTTTAAGGAAGAGTATCTCCTCCTATAACTCAAAAGGATGGAAGGAAGGAGTGAAGAAGGAGGGAACATTAACTAAGGACATGACTGTCCAAAGTGGTAAACATTCACCTAAAACTTCTTTTAATCCTACTAATGCTTCTGTTTCTTCTACTTCTCGACATAGGGAAATTAAATGCTTCAAGTGCCTTGGAAAGGGTCATATTGCATCCCAATGTCCGAACAAGAAAACCATGATTTTGAGAGAGAATAGTGAGATCTCAAGTGATAGTTCATCTCAATCATCACACGCTTTAAGTGAAGAGGATAGTGAGTTTGAAGCTTTATGCCACGAGGGAGATTTGCTTATGGTAAGGCGTCTCTTGGGTAGTTTAGCTAAGGAGGATGATACCACACAAAGAGAAAATATTTTTCATTCAAGATGTTTGGTACTTGGAAAGGTTTGTTCTCTTATTGTTGATGGTGGTAGTTGTACCAATGTGGCTAGTATTCGACTTATTGAGAAATTGAATCTTACTACTACTCCTCACCCCAAGCCTTATAAGCTACAATGGTTGAGTGATGAAGGGAAGTTGGTTGTTAATAGGAAAGTTTTAATTGCTTTTTCTATTGGCAAGTATAAAGATGAAGTCTTGTGTGATGTAGTGCCTATGGAAGCAAGTCATATACTCTTAGAGAGACCTTGGCAGTTTGACAAGAAAGCTATTCATGATGGTCATTCCAACAAGTTCACATTTATACATAAAGGGAGCACAATCACTCTAGTGCCCATGACTCCTAGTCAAGTGTGTGATGATCAAATAGTCATGAGGTTGAGAAGAGAGCAAGAGAGAAAAGATGAAAAGAAAAAGAGTGAGTTTGAGGGGAACCTTAAAAAGAAAGGAGAAAAAGTGAGGACACTTCCAAATGAAAAATATGAGAGTGAAAAGAAAAGTGAAGAAAAAAATCAACATGAAATGAGAGAAAATTTATTTGTAAAAAAAAAAGGAAGTGAGAAAAGCGTTATTGGCCTCTCGGCCTATGTATCTACTTTTTTGTAAAGAAAGTCCTCATAGTGATTATATTAAGTCTTTTGCTAATAATACTTTGCCTTGTGGTGTTTCTTCTCTTTTGCAGGAATTTGAAGATGTCTTCCCTAAAGAAGTGCCTCACGGCTTACCTCCAATTAGAGGGATAGAACATCAAATTGACTTGACTCTAGGGGCAACCTTGCCTAATCGACCTGCATACAGGAGCAATCCTCAAGAAACTCAAGAGATTCAAAAACAAGTAGAAGGATTGTTAGAGAAAGGATGGGTAAAAGAAAGCCTAAGCCCTTGTGCTGTACCAGTCATCTTGGTACCCAAGAAAGATGGAAGCTGGAGGATGTGTACTGATTGTTGTGCCATCAATAATATTACTGTAAAGTATAGACACCCCATACCCCGTTTGGATGATTTACTTGATGAATTGTTTGGTGCTTGTTATTTTTCTAAGATTGATCTTAAGAGTGGATATCACCAAATAAGAATAAGGGAAGGGGATGAATGGAAAATAACTTTTAAGACTAAATATGGCTTGTATGAATGGTTGGTTATGCCATTTGGGTTGACTAATGCACCTAGCACCTTTATGCGCTTAATGAATCATGTGCTTAGGAACTTCTTAGGAAAATTTGTTGTTGTTTACTTTGATGATATCTTAATTTACAGCAAATCTTTTGATGAGCATATGTTGCATTTGAGGTGTGTGTTGGAGGTTTTAAGACATGAACAATTGTATGCAAACATTGAAAAATGCACATTTTGTAAAGATCATGTAATTTTTCTTGGCTTTGTTGTTAATTCTAAAGGTGTGCATATGGATGAGGAAAAGGTTAAAGCCATTAAAGATTGGCCAACCCCTAGGACTGTGAGTGAAGTGAGGAGCTTTCATGGGTTAGCAAGCTTTTATAGGCGCTTTGTGAGAGATTTTAGTACCATTGCCGCACCCTTAAATGAAGTTGTTAAGAAAAATGTGGGTTTTAAATGGGAAAGGGAGCAACAAGAAGCCTTTAATACTTTGAAGAATAAGCTTATGCATGCACCAATACTTGCACTCCCTAATTTTGCTAAATCTTTTGAATTGGAGTGTGATGCATCTAATGTTGGGATAGGGGCTGTTTTGACGCAAGAGGGACATCCCATTGCTTACTTTAGTGAAAAGCTTAATGGAGCATGCTTGAAGTATCCTACTTATGATAAAGAACTCTATGCTTTGATTAGGGCACTCCAAACATGGCAACATTATCTTTTATCTAAAGAATTTGTGATCCATAGTGACCATGAATCATTGAAATATCTTAAGGGTCAAGGAAAATTAAATAAAAGGCATGCTAAGTGGGTAGAGTTCCTAGAACAACTCCCTTATGTTATTAAGCATAAGCAAGGTAAAATGAATGTAGTGGCTGATGCATTATCTAGGCGTTATGTGTTGCTTTCTATGCTTGATACAAAATTGCTTGGATTTGAACATGTAAAGGAACTATATGTGCATGATGCTGACTTTGCTGAATTATATGCATCTTGTGAAAAGAGAGCTCATGATGGATTTTACAAGCATGATGGGTATTTGTTTAAGGGGAATAAATTGTGTGTGCCTAAATGCTCAATTCGTGACTTGCTTGTGAGAGAAGCCCATGAAGGTGGTTTGATGGGACACTTTGGTGTACCTAAAACTTTAATGATATTGCAAGAACACTTTTTTTGGCCTAAAATGAAACATTATGTTTATAAATTTTGTGAAAGGTGTGTTGTGTGCAAGAGGGCTAAATCCAAGGTAAATCATCATGGCCTTTATACTCCATTACCTGTTCCAGATTACCCTTGGATTGATGTTTCTGTGGACTTCATTGTAGGTTTGCCAAGGACAAAGACTGGCAAGGACTCCATATTTGTGGTTGTGGACCGATTTTCAAAGATGGCTCATTTTATTCCATGTAGGAAAGTAGATGATGCTACACATATTGCGGACCTATACTTCAAAGAGGTTGTAAGGTTGCATGGTTTGCCAAGGAGCATTGTTTCAGATAGAGATTCGAAGTTTTTAAGTCACTTCTGGAGGACCTTGTGGCAAAAACTTGGAACCAAACTTCTATTCTCTACCACATGTCACCCACAAACAAATGGAAAAACAGAGGTGGTAAATCGTACCTTAACTACTCTTCTCAGAACTATGGTAAAAAAAAATCTCAAATCATGGGATGAATGCTTGTCTCATATTGAATTTGCATATAATAGGACATTTCATTCAACTACCCTGCATTCACCCTTTGAGGTTGTTTATGGATTTAATCCTCTCACCCCGCTTGATTTGTTGCCACTTCCTAATGTTGCGTCTTTAGTACATAAGGATGGCAATGCCAAGGCTGAATTTGTTAAAAAGTTGCATGAAAAGGTGAAGGCTCAAATTGAAAAGAAAGTTGAACAACAAGCAAAATATGCCAACAAGGGAAGGAAGAGAGTGGTATTTGAACCCGGAGATTGGGTTTGGGTACACATGCGTAAAGAGAGGTTTCCTATACAAAGAAAGTCAAAGCTTCAGCCAAGAGGAGATGGATCATTCCAAGTCTTAGAGAGGATTGGAGATAATGCATACAAAGTGGACTTACCAGGTGAATATGGTGTTAGTGCTACTTTTAATGTATCTGATTTATCTCTATTTGATGTAGATAATAAAAAGTCAAATTTGAGGGAAAATTCTCTTGAAGAAGGAGGGATTGATGAGAATCAAGGAAGGCCCATTGAAGACAAAGACTTGAAGGCATTGGAAGAGCTTCAAGGACCAATGACAAGGGCAAGGGCAAAAAGAATAAATGAAGACTTAGAAAAGATTGTTGCTGTCTTATTTGAAAGGGAGCTCAATTTAGAGTTAGAAAAGCCCAAGATAATCAATTACATATGCTTAGAGGATTTGAACTCTAACAAGTTTTGTTAGGATTTAATTATTATGTTTAGTTTATTTATTTTAATATTAGTCATTACTTATTTTGAGTTTTTATTTAGGATAAAATCTTGTTATTTTATTTAGTCTATTTGAATTTTGGCTTGTTGGTACAAGAAGCCCATTAGGGTTTGCGTTAGTATTAGTTTACAAGCATTAGGCATATATAAGCTCTTGTAAACACACTTTTAATTAGTTTTGAATATAATTTGAGATTGAACACTCTTGTGAGAGCGTGTGACTCTAGGTTCTTGAGTGAGCCAATTTTCTTTGATCTTATCAAGAGGCCAAAACTCTTGTGGCGACCATTCCTTGGCTTATCAATCTTGCGATTGTGGCGCCATTTTCCATCTCTATTCTATTTTTACTTTTTATTAATTTTCTTCTTATTTCAATTCTTATTTGTGCCGTAATAATTTCGTTTTTATTGTGTGAAATCCAATTCAAGATCGTTTAATTCGGCGACACGATTTGTGGTTGTCATCAGATATCCATGCAAGGCAAATGGTAGCATTTCATGCCAATCTTTGTATATCACTACCATCTTTTGGATGATCTTCTTAATATTTTTATTGGTTGCTTCAACTGCTCCATTCATCTTCGGGCGATAGGGAGAGGAATTCTGATGTCGAATCTTGAAATTGTCACACAATTCTTTCATCATTTTGTTGTTCAAATTAGTGTCATTGTCTGTTATCAACTTGCTTGGGAGGCCATACCGACAGATCAAATCTTTTTTAATGAATCTCACCACCACATTTCGGGTCACACTAGCATATGAAGCAGCCTCAACCCATTTTGTGAAATAGTCAATAGCAACTAGAATGAAGCGGTGACCATTAGAGGCTTTAGGTTCAATGGGTCCAATAACATCAATTCCCCACATTAAAAAAGGCCAAGGCGATGATAAGACATTCAAACTTGTTGGGGGAACATTAATATTGTCAGCATATGTCTGGCATTTATGACATGTCTGGCATTTATGACATGTCTTCACATAACGAAAGCAATCGGCCTCCATTGTCAACCAATAATATCCAGCCCTTAGAATCTTCTTTGCCATGGCATGTCCATTGGCATGGGTCCCAAATGAACCTTCATGAATCTCTTCCATGATCTTTCGTGCTTCTGAAGCATCCACACATCTAAGCAGAATCATATCATGATTCCTTTTATAGAGCACGTCTCCATTCAGAAAGAAACTCATTGCTAACCTCCTCAATGTCCTTTTGTCATTTTCAACAGCATTTAATGGGTATTCATTGAGGAAATTTTTAATGTCATTATACCAAGGTTTACCATCAGATTCTTCTTCAACCATTTGACAATAGGCAGGATGATCAAGTTGTTGCATCTTTATGAATGGCATGTCTTCCTTTTGACTCACTAAAAACATTGATGACAAAGTGGCTAAAGAACCGGCTAATTGATTCTCCTCACGAGGAATATGCTGGAAAGTAATTTCGTCGAAATACTCCACCAATTCCCTGATATAGGCTTGATAAGGGATCAATTTAGCATCTCGGGTTTCCCATTCACCTTTCAGCTGGTGAATAACCAAAGCTGAGTCACCATATACCTTGAGAATTTTAATCTTTGACCCTATAGCTGCTTGAATTCCCATAGCACATGCTTCATATTCAGCTACATTATTCGTACAATCAAATGATAATCTAGCTATGACTGGGATATATTGCCTTTCTGGGGAAATCAGTATAGCACCAATCCCGTGTCCAAGTGCATTAGAAGCACCATCAAACATCATGACCCATTCGTCTTTTGCTGAAGATTCTTTCTCATTAAACAGCGCCATTATATTTTCATCAGAAAATTCGTATTGTATTGACTGATAATCATTCATCGGTTGATGAGCTAGGAAATTTGCGAGAGCATTGCCTTTGATTGCTTTTTGAGTAACATACACAATATCATATTCTGACAGTAGGACCTGCCAACGAGCAATCCTTCCAGTAAGGGCTGGTTTCTCAAAGATGTATTTGATTGGGTCCATTTTTGACACCAACCAAGTCGTGTGACTCAACAAATATTGTCTTAACCTACGAGCTGCCCAAGCCAAGGCACAACAGGTTCGCTCCAACAAAGAGTATCTAGCTTCATAATCAGTGAACTTCTTGCTCAAATAATAAATGGCATGCTCTTTCCAACCCGATTCATCATGCTGACCTAAAACACATCCTATGGATCCTTCTAACACTATCAAATACATAATAAGCGGCCTCCCTGACACTGGTGGCACTAGTATCGGGGGATTTTGCAAATATTGATTTATCTTCTCAAAAGCTTCTTGACAATCATCATTCCACTCCATCGGCTGATTTTTCCGTAACAACTTAAAAATTGGTTCACAAGTGGCAGCTAGTTGGCATATGAATCGGGCAATATAATTCAATCTCCCCAAAAATCCACGAACTTCCTTTTCAGTGCGAGGAGGCGGCATTTCCATGATTGCTTTTGCCTTGTCAGGATCAACCTCTATTCCTTTTTGACTGACAATGAATCCCAACAACTTGCCTGATTTTACCCCAAAGGTACATTTGGCAGGGTTCAACCACAATTTGAATTTTCTCAACCGCTCAAACAATTTGTGTAAATTTACAACATGGTTTTCTTCAGTCATTGATTTGGCAATCATATCATCCACATAGACTTCAACCTCCTTATGTATCATATCATGAAATAATGTCATCATCGCCCTTTGATATGTTGCCCCGACATTTTTCAAACCGAAAGGCATGACCTTGTAGCAAAAGGTGCCCCAAGGTGTAATGAATGTGGTTTTCTCCATATCCTCTTTAGCTATTTTGATCTGATTATAACTCGAGTAACCATCCATAAAAGAGAAAAATGAATGTTGAGCTGTATTATCTACTAGCATATCAATGTGAGGCAATGGAAAATCATCTTTAGGGCTGGCTCTATTTAGATCCCGATAGTCAACACACATCCGAACTTTTCCATATTTCTTGGGAACTGGCACAATGTTAGCAACCCATTGAAGGTATTTGGCAACAGCAAGAAAACCTGCATCAAATTGCTTCTTGACCTCCTCTCTAATCTTCAATGACATCTCAGGCTTTATTCTCCTTAATTTCTGCTTAACTGGGAAACACTCTGGTTTTAGTGGCTATGTCAACATCTACACCTGGCATATCTTGATAAGACCATGCAAAGACATCATTATAATCATGCAAGAGTTTAATCAACTTGTCGCGCTTTTGTTTTTTTCATGAGGGTGCCTATTTTGATTTCTCTCTTATCATCTTCAGTCCCTAAATTAATTGTCTCAGTGGGTTCATCACGAGGTTGGATCTCTTTCACTTCTTGATCGACCAACCTTAGAGATTCTGAGGCTAAATCAACATCACTATCATCTTCGACAGCTTGATTAATAGGACAATCAAAATTAGTGGATGAGATATTAGCACTGTTACTTTCAGACATGTCACTTTCGAATCTGCATTGTGCGAGAGTTGAGACAAAAAGAAAATAAACGACAAGATTCAACTGATAAAGAAAAAGACACGAAAGATTACTGAGAATTCAAATTGCATTTCATTTAAATATACTTAAAAGGAAACATGTGTCCCAATTTACAAAACAAACTGATATTTCAAATTACAAAAAGAAATCATATATCAGCGTTTTCAAAAAGTAATGATATCCTAAAGCTTTGGAACAAAACAATAGGATTAACTTCAAGGATTACTTTGAATAGCTATTAAAAATCACAGGTAACTCGATGATCTCCCAATTGCCAACTTCCGTGTTTGGCGGACAAGTGCGGACTAAGTCCACAACCTCTTCTTCAGGTGTATCCACATCAGCAGCAGCCACTGAGTCTTGAAACTCAAATCCAACACTATAGAAGCTTTTCAGGAGATCACAAATGGGGACCCCTTCAGTCTTGGGCTCCCTACCTTCCAACCTGGCTAATCTTCTTTCTTTCTTTTCCTCCATGACTCTCCTCTTATCAGCTTTAGTGGGCGTGTATCCCAACCCAAATCTATCCTTATTCCCATGGAGCTGTAACCAGTTTGCTGCTTTCATGATGGTTTGTCCTAACACGTATCCATACTGACAACCTCCGTCAAGCATGACTTTAGCAGTCATTATGGATGTATTAGACAATCGAGGCTTTAAGATTGGAGCTTCCTCTCCAACATAAGTAGCATTTGCAATCTCTAAAGCCTGAAAAGAGGTCTCTAGAGCTTCTTCAGTGGCTTCAATATAAGGCGTGGACGAAGGTTTGCTCACTAACATATCTTCTTCACCAGAGATAATCACCAACTTATTATCAATGATAAACTTCAGTTTCTGATGCAATGTGGATGGTACAACTCCAACAGAATGAATCCAAGGCCTCCCCAAAAGATAGCTGTATCCTGGTGCGATGTCCATTACTTGAAACAAAATATGAAAGGTGCAAGGACCAATTTGAATTGGAATTTCAATTTCTCCAATGACCTCTCTCCTTGTTCCATCAAAAGCTCTTACTATCATGGCACTGGGTTTCATATGCGACCCATCATAAGGTAATTTTGACAATGTTGCTTTTGGCATCACATTCAGAGAAGACCCATTGTCAATAAGCACTCTAGCAATAATGTGATCTCGACATTTCACAGAAATATGCAGTGCTTTATTGTGCCCCATTCCTTCAGCAGGTACTTCATGATCAGCGAAGGTCAGATAATTGTTTGAAACAATATTACCAACAATGCCTCCAAACTTGTCGGTAGTGATATCATGGCTGACATAAGCCTCATTCAACACTTTTAAAAGAGTCCTCCTATGTGGCTTAGAGTTCAACAACAACGATAAAAGAGATATTCGTGCTGTAGTTTTGTTTAATTGTTCCACAACTTGATATTCACTTTGCCGAATAAATTTCAAAAACTCACAAGCTTCTTCATCTGACACTGCTTTCTTTATTTCAGGCATTTTCTCTTTGTCAACGTCTTCAAACTCGCCCACTTTGGCTTTCCCCTTTGAGGATGTCTCTATCTCTTTTGTTCGCTCCTTTCTCAGCTCCTCGGGTGTGTAAATACGACCGCTGCGGGTCATTCCACCAACGCCAGCAATGTGTGAGACAGCGAGAGTATCAGAATTGACACCTTGTGTTTGATTTTCCTTAAAATTGTCGACATAAACCCCTGCATCATACTTCCATGGTACTGCTTGGTTGTCCTTGTAAGGGAATGGAGCCGGTACTTGTATAGTGATGGGTCTAGGTCCATTGGTAGTTGGGGTATTCATACATTTGGTGTAATGAATGACCAAGGGTTTCGGGAAAGTTGAGGATTGTCCATCAACAGTCGAAACTTCATTTTTCTCCTTAGGGTGCCCGATTTGGACCAAATGCTTGTCCATCAGGGTTTGCAGAACATGCTTGAATTCTTCACAATCTTCAATGGAGTGGTATGCATTAGGGTGAAAGTCACACATATTTTCTTCATGTACAAAACCCCTGATCAAGTCAGCCTTGCACAGCTCATCAAAAATAACCTTAAGAGGAGTGGTAACCTCTTCAACTTTCCTCTTTAAAACATGTGCAAGTTCTTCCTCAATGGCATTTACCGACGATCCTCCATGCCCAGGTAGGGGGTTACTCCTGATGTTAGGATTATCCTCCTTGAAATTCAGCCATTTGGCATTAATTAAGTCTTGCACTTTGAACTTTAATGCCCTACAATTCTCTGTCGAATGACCAATGCCACCAGCATAATACTCGCACTTAGCATTTGGGTCATATCCTCTTGGATAGGGTGGTTCTACAGGTTTCATTGGACAGGGTACAACTAATGAACTGTGGAATAGGCGAGGTAGTAACTCAGTGTAGGACATGGGGATTGGGTCGAATTGAACTTGTTTCCTTTCTTGATTATTTTTTGTCTTATTTGGTTGGGATTTGGGTTTTGGTTCTAATGCTGGGGTGGTCTCATGGGTGGTGTTATAGGAAAAGTAGGCAGAGCAGGTTGGTAGGGTCGCGGCTGATAAGATTGGGGACTTGGATTCTGTGAAACAGCATTGACATATGGGTAAGACATTTGAGGAGTAGGAAATGTGGGTTGGAATTGAAAAAGTGCAGGGTTAGGTCTGATGAAAGGAACTTATCTTGGGTGAAAGGCTATAGCATTAGTCTCTCCCTCCTTCTTTCTTCCTGGACCATTTGCAAATTTCTTTAAATTGGAGGGTCCGCCCAAATTGTGAAATATCTTGCCACTCCTCATTCCCCCTTCCACTCTTTCTCCGATAATCACAATATCAGAGAAGTTTGACGAAACACTTCCAATCATTCTATCATAGAAAGGTGATTGGAGAGTATCAATAAACATAGCCACCATTTCTTTTTTAGACAAAGGGGGCTCCACAACTTCTCTCCATCTCTGGGCGTATTCTTTAAAAGTCTCATCCTCCTTCTTTAACATATTCTGCAGTTGTAATCTATCAGGAGCCATATCAATGTTGTACTTATATTGCTTTAGGAAAGCATCAGCCAAGTCTTTCCAACTACAAATACGAGTACGCTCAAGATGCATATACCAACTCAAAGCTCCTCCAACCAATCTGTCTTGAAAAAAATGAATAAGTAGCTTATCATTATGGGCATGTGATGCCATCTTTCTACAGTACATGATCAGATGACTCTTTGGGCATGTTGTTCCTTTGTACTTATCAAAATCAGGCACTTTGAATTTTGGAAGAACTATCACATCTGGGACTAAGCAAAGATCCACAGCTTCTCCAAAGCCATAGCTGCTTCCCTCGATAGCTCTCAATCTTTCTTCCAATATTTGTAATTTTTCTCTAGATTGGAAGTGCTCCTCTGAGTAATTGGGCTAGGGTTCTTCTAAGGTCTTATGGGAATGGAATGGTGATATGGCTGGGTTTCCATTAAGGTTAGGATTAGTGATTTGTGGTTGGTGGTGGATCGGTTGGTTTGGTGGCTGGCTAATGTTTGGTGGGTTCTCAGCTATCGGTGGTGTATAACCATGAGGAAGGCCATATGGGGGAAATTGGACATCTTGTTGATTGAAAGCTTGTTGTGGAGACCTTTCTACATGTAAGGTCAAAGGCACCATTGTTTCATGAGGAGGAAAACTTTGGGACGGTCCTTGTGTAGGGGTGAAACCTGGTGGATAGGTAGGAGTGGGTTGTGCTGGAGGTGCTTGAGTAGGGGTCCCCTCTGTGGCTCTTCTCTCTAAAGACTTCAGTGTCTCTAGGATCTGTGTCATCTGTTCTTTCAGCTGATTGACATCGTTCCTCAGTTCTTCATTAAGTCCTCTAACTCATCCATGATCCTTGTTTGAGCGCGAGTTCTATAAGGATGCTTTAGAAAATATTTCCCCATTATATTTGTTTAATTTTTTTTGTGAGTGATGCAATAAAAAAATGATGCAGTCAAAAAGAAGTTAACATAATGAAGAACATGTTTAAAGAGAAAATTGAAAACTTGAAGAATCATCACAGTTGTTGAACATCTTTAAGTTTTTCTTTTAAACAAGAATTAATGTGGGATCATCACCAAAATATAAAATTTTCTTAATTCAAGTGTATCATCTCATTGCTACTTGATCCCACATTAATTTTCATTTTTCTTAGATATTCAAAAACTTTGTGATCCTCAATATACAAATACAAATACAAAAAAAAAAAAAAAGATGAAAAATCTTTTATCCGTTTCATTGACACAAGGTCCTAGTGGTAATAAGGATTAATGTTAATTCTAAATGAACCAATAACTCACAAGGCACTTATATCAATGAAACAAATATGTGATAATGTATGCAAGAACAATATGAATCATTACCTTTTTAAATTCCCTTTGAATTTATTTATTTATTTATTTTACTTTTCGATAAATTTAAATTGATACTTAAAAGGGTAATGCTTCATATGACAATGCAATGATGCAAGAAATTATGCAAATTGTCATCCTTAACCGTATTTCAAAACCGATTTTAAATTTATTACAAGTGTCATAAGGATGGCAATAAGCATGATATTCAAATAAATGATATGCAATGATATATTAAATGATGATGATGTAAGGAAAATTAAATGAGAGAATCATGTGAATCACTAGCCTTTATACTATCCAAAATGTAATAAAATATCTTTTTTATTTAGAACTTTAAGGTGCTAATAATTCACATGACTTCTAAAAGAGTAAATAAGGAAAGAATACCCTCCTTTTGTGTCCTATTTTAGGTCATCTAAAGGGTCTAACTTAAAGATCTACAACTTTCTCTTACGTGTAAAAATTCACAAAAGGTGGCTTGTAATCCTAAAAGGTCACTAGAGCTAAGATCCAATCCTTGATGTTGACCACAACAGTAGGGAGTCTACTAGATGCGGGACATCAAGAAAAGGTCAAACTCTAGCTAGGGTTTTCACGATAGCCAAATAGGACGTGCATCCAAAATGACACCGCTACATAACCCCTCTAATCCTAGGTATACTCAGACTTGGGTATAAGGCCCCGCTCAAAGTGTGTGATAAATGTGTAAGTGATAGTGTGTGAGGGAGCATACAAACCTTATCAACTCAACAAAAATAAAAAGCTGCAAAAATTAAACAACACGAGAATATACAAATTATCAATAGTCATCTACCCTAGGATTAATAACAATATCAATATGAGCATACAATGAGATTACGCAATTCATACACGAAATACATGCACGAATAAAAGCAACATTACAATTAACTCAAATAAATAAAAAAAGAAAGGGATTAAACAAATAGAAACAAAATAAGACAAATTCGCACAATCAATTATCAAAGGCTTCACTCTCTAAAAGATTTTCCCAGTGGAGTCGCCATCTGTCGCAACCGGGCGGTCGCAACGGTACGGCAAAAAACTTTTTCAAATATATCAAAGGAGTCGCCACCAAAGTTTATTTTAAGAAAAACCTTGGAAAAACTTAAATATAATACGATCTTTGAAACCAAAAATGAGTTCGAGAGTCATTTATGTGTAGGGAAGGTATTAGCACCTTACAACGTCCGTTTAAAAACGGTTACCTAAAATTAATTGTGCAAATTCATTCTAATTTTGAAAAAAACATTTATTTAACCCCTAAACATTAATTATTTTATTTTAGAAGAAGAAATATTATTTATTGAAATATTATTTGGGTTATTTTAAAAATTATTTTGACTTGACGGGTTCGGTTCCCGCTCCTACGTATCCCCGGGTGCAATGGGGAACTCAAAGCCACGTAGTTCTATTTAAAAATTATGAAATTAGTTGATTATAATTAAGTTTAGTAAAAGAAAATTTTATTTTAAAATTAAAATCATTTTCGTAAAATTATAATGTTTAGGATACAAGATAATGCAGTTATACATGTACCCTACGAGAAAACAATACAGAAAGTGAAGGGAGATCACACAACTATACTGCAAATCGTTAAGAAATATTTTATTCGTAAATTGAGTATTTGAATTTTAATTTTGATTATGATTAATATTGAAAGAAATTTAAGATAGCGTAAGCTATACATAAACCTCTTATAATTTATTAGACTATCGAAGGCAATGTAAATTACACATCGATATTATAAAAATTTATAAAATGAAGAAATTATAGTAATTTAATTTATCAAAATTTGAAATGACTTAAGAAAATTTAAAATATGAAATTAATTCTATTTTAATAAAAAATAATTTTATTTGAATTGATTAAAGAAGATACTCATTTAATAAAAACATTAAAAATTTTATTTGATAGATTTATATTATATAAAACCTAAGGTAACGTTGGTACACATAGATTTTGACAATTTATAAAGCATAAAGGTAGAGTCACTACAAATTAGCATTATAAATTATTTCTTAATAAAACAATTTAGATTTAAATTAGTTGATTGATTTGTAAGTTAGTATTTAGAAGAGAAATACATCTTGCATTATTATTAAAGTGGTTAACTAATTAATTAATGACAATATGTGATAAATTAATATTGCATAAAGTCTTGGTAATGTAGGTACACATAGACTTTATCAATTTATAATACATGACTATAGAGACGCTATACGTTAGTATTATAAATTGATACAATTATATTATTATTTATTAATTAATTATACAAAAAAATAAGTAATTTAGTATTCACAATATAAGATAAAGTAATCATAAATATAAAATTAAATCGCATTAATATGATACAAATATACAATAAATAAAATAAAAGATAACAATCCTAAAAAGTAAGATATAAATAATGAAATATGAAAAAGAAAATAATTTATTGTTAATGTTAAAATGAGATAAAAAAAATCAACTCAAATATAATATTGTAAAGTAAACGGTATCAAGAGATTTTAAATAAATAAAATAAAATAAAATAAAATAAAATAAAATAATTTAATTTAAACAAGGTTAACATAAAAAAAATAAAAATAAATAATAAGAACTCATTCATTAAATAAATTAATAATTATCATAATAACAAATAATAACGATGATGAATAAATAAATAAAACTAAAACAATAAATTATATGTTGAACTAAATAATGATAAAAATAAAATAAATAAAAAATTCGGACAAAAAAATAAAAAATAAAATTAAAGGCTAAAATGGTCCCAAATTTTAAATTTTCATATTTGAGAGGGAAGGACTTTAGGGTTAGGGGTATGCTTTTCTCCAAGAAAAACAAAAAAGTTATGAAAGGGTGGAGGTGAGGTTAATGGAGGCCATGGTTTTGAGTGGTGAAGGTTATTGAGAGTAAAAGGAAGAGGAATGAGACAAGGTAGGGAAAGAATTTTTTATGGTGAGTTTTGTGTTTGTGGATGATGATAGATGGAGGAATGGGTGGAGAGGTGGTGAGACATGGATGTTTGAAGTGGTGGTTTGAAACATTTTTTTTGTCATTTGGGATTGATTTGATATAGGAAATGTTTATTCAAAATATAAATATGTATGAAGAAGAAAAATATATAAAATGTATGATGAAGCTTACTTGATGTTCTTGAAAATTTTTGCTTGCCTCTTGTTCTTCCTCCTTTCCACTAACCTTCTTTTCTCTATATTTTCTCTTTTTCTCTCCAAGTTTAAGAATGCCTCCTCTCAAAAAAAATTTTAGCCTCCTTTTGATGTCGTCTTTGCTCCATGGTTCTTCTTTCCTTTTATTGCTAGGGTTTTCACAAAAGTCCAAAAATTCTGAATTTTTTCTTTTTTATGTATAAAGTAATATTGGTTCAAGAGTTTGATTATTTGTCATATTCTATTTTCTTTTTAAAAATTAATTCTGAAAATTTTCTATTTTATTAAGACAAATTTTTGTTTTTTCTTTAAAACCTTTTGATTCCATTCTTCTTTTGTAATATTAAAATTCAGATTTTTGTTTTTTTAAAATCAAAATTTTTAAATCAAAATTTTAGTGTCACAGTGAGCATATGTTTCATGACGTAATATCCACACTCCCAGCTCCCTTGTTGTTTGTGTGACTACAATAAAATTATGACATTATGTGTTTTAAACAGATGATATCAGTAATTCTGTATTGGAACAATGAATTTGAGATAGGAGAAAATTACAATTTACGCACCTGTGGAAAGATCCATGTAGTTTTTCTGTTGTTGACACCATTGTTGTATTTGAGAAATGTTGCTTGCATACATCTATAAGGATGAAAATAATGCGTATATGTTACCCAGAAAGTTAATGTTATTGACAATGTGACTTCATGCATATTCATTTACTTACACATCAATAATGGATTTGATCTCTTTTTTGGGTTTATTCCATAACGAGCAGAGGAAAACCACTTCGTTTATTTTGGGACAAAATATGAACAATTACCAATGGCTCCTACAAAAACAGGTAAGAAGTAATAACCCAATTAATTTTACAATTATATTTGTGTAATATATTGAAGATTTACTTACCCATAATGATAAGGTGCAAGGTAGCAACACTTCCTTCCTTCAATCATTGCCGTTTCAATATATTTCTTGATTAATTCTTGCTTGTTCCCTAATGTCTGAATTTGAAGAGGGTCAATGAAGCCATACAAATGACTTACCATAGCTATGGTCGAAAGGTGGTGTAAATACCTACAAAATCGGCATATGACCATAAATTAATATTATATCACAACCATTGCTTGTTTGACATAATATTAAACCTTTTCTTCAAATTAAGATAACATTACTTTAACCGCACTTGAATGACAGAGATGCAAATCATCTCCTCACTCATTGTAACCTCCATCATGTCCTTTTGT